AGTCGGTCGCCATCGATGGGGTTGAAAACCTAGGGCTTTTTTTGGCAGATTGAAGCAACAGTCGGTCGCCATCGATTGGAAGGGGAACGATTGTGAAGGGGAACGATTGGGAACGATTAACAGATTGTGAAGGGGAACGATTGGAACTCGCCATCGAGATGAGATGGTCGCCGTCGATTGCACCACTGTACTCGAGAAGAGAAGACGTTGTGAAGGAGAACGATTGGGAACGATGATGAAGGTTTTGAGAGGGTAGAAAGGTAAATTACTTCTTGTTCCAGTTAGTTCCATGGGGGAAGGGTGGACTAACTTGTCCCACGCGTGTTCCACCTTGTTCCACTTAGTCCCACATATAACCACACCAAACATGGGATAAATGTGTTCTGTCCAGTTCTGTTCCACCTTGTTCTGCCTACCAAACGCACCCTAAAGGACTTGGCCCAACATCAGGCCCAAGTTGCTGCCCTGCTGAGTTGCTGGGCAAATCCGGCCCCTGACTCGCCTCGAACCGCCACCACACCAAGGCTGAACGGCCTCGGTCGGCGGCTGTCTCACGGCTAACGCCAGCAGCAACATTTTTGCCTCATTTGTGCTCGTTTTTTCACCTTTTTCCGTAATTCTTTTTGCGTTAACTCATCATAAGATTAATCATCGCCCCATGGCACCTAAATTTTAAACTTCCGGTTTTTACCGAAACTCGCCGCCATATTAACTAAACCCATTTCAATCCCGTAGGTTACCTCAATCATGCGGTTACCCTGGGTTTTTTTAAACCCATTGTCTTTATCTCATCCATGTCGGATATATAGCACCGGAGATGTAATCCAAATCTTGCTGGTGTACTACGACCCCGATCTCATCGGTCTATGAAGAATCCATCTTGCTGGTGTACTACGACCCCGATCTCATCGGTCTGAGTATTAAGCTCCCCAAAAAGACCTACAAGTCAATCAATGCTGTGGAAACGTTGAGAGTGCAAAACATCTTGTCCAAAGAGTAATATCAACCTACTATTGTAATAAAACAAGTAAATTACAGCTTTTACAAGAAATGGAAAATAAGATAATAAATGACTCAAGGTTAGGGGCATAATAGTAAAATAAGCTATCTTAAAAAGGGGGAAATAAATGCTTATACATTGAATAATCAATGCATATCAGTCATTATACTATATAGGTAAAATATATTTTCTTATTCATTACAGTAAAGCAAGAAGCATGGCATCAAATGAAACATCCTTATCTTAACCTCTTGAGCAGGTTAGAATTAAGGTGGTGGTGGTGTTGTCCTCTAAATTCATGTTGTTCTTACACTTAAGGTTTAAAGACAGCTAGCTTCACACGTGTAACAATAATATGTTTAAAAAATAAAATAAATAAGAAACCCGTTATCTCATGTGTTTAGGCATAGATAGTCAAGGACTACATAATCATTAATGCAAATGTTATGCTATTATATACATTCAAGACTTCACCCTTTATCCTCTTTTCATTTTTAATAAAAAAAACTGAATGTATTTATAATGCATTGCCCAATTTGAGACCAACAACCGGACCGGCCTCACACACAGTCCACATGCTAAGAACCATATATGAGAAGACATTTTAGAACTAACTCAGTGGCTAGGGAGGGAGGGAGGAGCCGGAGAGGGGTTTAAGCCTATTTCCATAATATTCAAATTTGAACTTGTATATTTAAGCAGTGACGGATCCAAGATTTTTGTTCAGCGAGCTTACCTTTAAGGTAGACTAAAGACCCGTAAAATCGTCTGATGTGTTTTTAATCTAATTACACGTTTTCAAGGGAATTTAAAAGTTTTTTGGTTGATTTCAAATAACCTTTTTGGTCTTTTTGATTAATTTCAACAGATTTTTTTGGTTATAGTAACGGTTTCAATTGGAGTTGGGGGCCCGTGAAAAAATGTAATGGAGGAAATGAAAGGTAAATCATGTAAAACCTAAATTTAACCTATAATTTTTATTTTTATTTTTTTTACTAGGATCCATTCCCCTTCCTTTTTAACATTACATCCACCCCTGTATTTAAGTAAAGTCATTCTATTCTTTTACCAGCCGAGTTATTCACCAGAGCTCAACCATGCCTAATATTGCTAACCCAATTTGTTTTGGAATCACCAAATTTTTGAATGATATTTTGCAAATATATATATATTAGAAAACTGAAATTACCTTAATACAACTTTTTTATCCCGTTACATTGCACAGGTATGCAACTAGTACAATAAATAAACGAGGAATTTTATTAACGTTTGGTTTTTGGTTGACTAGATAAAAATCATATTTTTTTATCTTTTATTTTAAAAAATGATGTGGAATTTTATTTATGTCATGTCATCATTTTAGATTTATTTTTATAAATTTAATGATGATATGAAATCTTATTTGACAAGATATTTAGGGCATGTTATCATTAGACAGATCAACAAGTCAACCAAACTTCTAAATAAATGCAAACTTTGACTTTGACCCTGAAACGAGGATTTGAAAATTGGTTCCCCAAGATAGAAGTGAGGGCAAAGTTGGTGCAATTTTCCCAGATATTTATATATATATAGGTGGATGTTCAAACGAAAACCCCTGTGATTTACGAGAACACGAGAACAACCCAATAACCTCAAAGTTTTTTAATTAATAAATTAATTTTTATTATATATAAATAATTTAATAAGGATAATAATGTAATTAAGTAATTTTTATAATTTTTATTTTATTTTAATTAACCATAATTAT